CTATATGTTTTTAGTTTTTTTTTTACCTCTTTAGCTTGTCTTCTCCCAAATACTTCTTTATTTTAAACACTATCGACAGTTGCATGATCTAACGTGTCCATGCTGCCCCCTGGTGCAACGACAGGAAAGGCCCTCTCCTACATCAACAAGCACTTCTTCAGTGATGCCAACGGAAACCGTGGAGGGGCTCCTAACGTGGCTGTGGTGCTGGTGGATGGCTGGCCCACAGACAAGGTGGAGGAGGCGTCTCGGCTCGCTCGGGAGTCTGGCATCAACATATTTTTTGTCACCATCGAGGGGGCGGATGATAATGAGAAACAAAACCTGGTTGAGACCAACTTTGTTGACAAGGTGGAGTATTTTCATACAGGTGTGTCAGTGCTTTATAGGGGACATATCCTGAAAACTCACTTTTCCAGTGAGTGCCTACCGACCCACAATGTGCGAAAACGAGGGTTTAAACAAGCCAATCAGATTTGGCTCAACTTGTCTTTACCCAAACTTGAGAACTACTTTTGTAAAGTTCTGGCATATTTTTGTTTTCGGGACGCAAGCTTAAAGGGACAGGTGCTAAAACAGAGCATTTCAGACAGAGGATGAATACAGGTATATTCAGACAGCTACTATTAGAAAAATAATGGGTTTTTTTAACAGTTAGGAATGTAAACATGTTCTAGTAGAAACCCATAATACAAGTATGAACCTGACAATGACCATAATATGTCCTCTTTAATAACAAAGTGTGGCCTTCATCCAACAGGCTGTGTGTCGGACAAACGGCTTCTACTCCCTGCCTGTGTCCAGCTGGTTTGCTCTGAGGAAGGCCGTGCAGCCCCTGGTGAAGAGAGTGTGTGACACCGACCGCCTGCTGTGCAGTAAAACTTGCCTCAATGCCAATGATATTGCCTTTGTGATCGACGGCTCCAGCAGCGTGGGAACCGGCAACTTCCGCACAGTGCTTCAGTTTGTGGCCAACATCACACGGGAGTTTGAGATCTCTGACACCGACACGCGGGTCGGGGCTGTGCAGTACACGTACGAACAGAGGCTGGAGTTTGGTTTCGGCCAGTACAACAACAAGGCCGAGCTACTGAACGCCATCAAACGCGTCGACTACTGGAGCGGCGGAACCAGCACCGGCGCTGCCATCACCTTCGCCGCAGATCAGCTTTTCAGCAAATCCAAACCCAACAAACGCAAGATCATGATTGTCATTACAGATGGGCGCTCCTACGATGACGTCAGGGCGCCTTCACTGGCTGTCCATAGCCAAGGTGAGAGGTCAACCAAAATACAATCTGAAAAAGAAGGAGATTTTAGGAAAACAAGGTCAGGTCACGAAGTGTTTAGGACCTTCCATCTATGAAACATTTTTTAAGTGTACTGAACAAAAATGTAAAAGCATGATAATCATTTTTTTCCCAATTAAAGGGACATTAACCCCAAATACATTTTCCTCTAACTTCTGCTTCTATTTTTATGTCTACATTTGTTTTGTCAAGTTTGTGTTGTCAGGTGGTTGATGGCCATGTGGATATCTGCCTGGATATATTCTCTCAAATACAATGAGGAACTATTGTCTCAACTATTGTGAACAGGGATACAGTTTGCGGGTTACACTTTGGAGGAAATAGGCTTCAACCCAGTATAAACAATATAATTATCCAAAACGTACTTTCCTCTGGTGTGTGTCAGTCCACAGTGAGGTGTCAAACAGTGTGTGTTTGATGTGACAAACACATGTGAGGCTTGTGTGTGTAACCTGCTGTCCCTCTCTGTGATCTATAGGTGTGATTGCATACTCCATCGGCATCGCCTGGGCAGCCCACGATGAGCTGGAGTACATCGCCACAGACCCCGACAAGGAGCACTCCTTCTTCGTGGACGAGTTCGACAACCTCTACAAATTTGTTCCCAAGATCATCAACAACATCTGCCAGGAGTTCAACTCCCAGCCTAGAAACTGAGGATGCACGGGTGGAGGGGAGGAGGAGTAAAGACGGACATCTTGATCCTGGGCCGTCTTCACGGAATACTGATAGTAAATGTACTCACTCTGGTGCCCAGATGGCGGCGCTGGATTGGCTGCAGCGCCCCCATATTTAAACAGGGAGGTGATTCGAAATTTAGGTGAGGATTGTGGACAAAACAAATCTCAAAGTGAAATACTATTCGGTCCCAAATATACAGATGGTGCTAATGGTAAAGGGTTTACATTAACAGTGACATCTCATGCACACTGTGGTACCATTTGTTCTCTGTTGGTGTTGTAAAGAGACCAGAGTATTCCTATTCATTTTATCCACAAACTTAAAGAGTCATCCTTTATAAATGGTTTATAAGTTGTAACTAGGGGTTTACCAAGAATGGCACTTGAAGATCGCCGACAAGGCCATTCTAACAAGTTTCATAAATATAGGGCAAGTCGTTTTTCCATAATCCTACTAACTGTGTTGCTAAGATAAACGAAGCAACACACAAATAACCAAAACCTGACAGAGGTAGTAAATCATTGAATACTTTATAGATCAATTAGAAGAAATCAGAAACAATTTAGGGTTGTGAAATGTTCCCTTACAGCCACTGGTGTTTGTCCTCCTCTGGCATGATTATGTATTTATAGTTCTTGTGTACACCTCTCTAATGCATAGTTACACCTCAGATATACGGTGGCCGAAAGGTCCCAACGGTCCAAAACATTTACATTAGAAGAAACACGCTGCAGTTTCAAAAACGATGCACTGTTACTGGAAACGTACTAAAATACATGTTTTATTGTCTTATCTCAACAATGTAATTGCATGATTGCTTCCAATGTTATTGCAGATCAGTTGCTAGCTAGCTAACTTAGCTAACCTAGTCATTTCAATAATAGTGGCAAAACACTTACAATTATGAAACAGACTAACTTTGCCAACAGTGACAGTAGGCCAACTTTATAATCCCCGAACATCAACAAGCGTCACACGCTGTATGCTTCACTTTTTAGTTTCCCTGTTTCCGTTGTGTTTTGCATCGTTTTTCATTTGCAACGTTTTGTTAAAGGTCACATATTATGCTAAATCCACTTTTTCATGTATTTTATACATCAACATGTGTCCCCTCTGTGTAAAGAGATTCTGAAAGTTTCAGGAAAAAAGATTTGCTCACTTTTTGTTCTGATCCATTGATATTAAAACGGAAAATGAGCTGATCAGATTTTGGCCACTTTATGATGTCATAACGATGTTGTGTCTTGTGTAACCATTAGCCAATCATCCACCAAAGTAACCCCCCCCCCCACCTTATCACCCGAATCTCCTCCTAGAGCACCATTGTGTTCTTGTTAACCAAATATCTCACAGAGGAGTGTTGGGAGTGGCTCCTTATTTTCATCTAAAGTAAAATACACCGAATCAGCACTTTTGAAACAGGGCTAAAACAGAGGGGATTATGGGATGCTACAATGCATGAACTGTTTGGTATTTTGAGCCAAACACTTCAGAGACATGTTTTGTATATATCTGAGACCTATAATATATAGTTGAAAAACAGTAGGCTATACCAGTCGACCTTTAATGCAGCACTTTTAGTAAACCCTGCGCATGTTTCGTCAATTTGGTGAATGTTTTCTGAATGCTGCGCACATGTTGTCATATTGTAAAATATGTTTCTTCCTTTGCATGTGTTTTGGCACATTTGTGTTTTTATATTTGCATCGTTTTTTGAAAGTGCAGTGTGTTTCTCCTTATGCAAGTGTTTGGCGCGTTTGCACCTGTCGGCCACCGTACTGCTCTTCTGGAAAAGAGCTGCGGAGCATCAAGCATAACATTCATTTGTTAGCAACCAGTGTTTGTAACTACAAGCTTGTTAAAGCATGTAGCATGCTAGGAGAACATACAGTATTTTGGCAACCCAAAATTGAAAGTCCTTCAGTACAACAGCACCTTTATAAGAAGGAGCCTTATTAGAAACTGGTACCACCACAATGATAAACAAACTTAATTAAGTTAACTTACTAGGACATGGTGCTTACAGAGAAATATAGATTTAAAGCTTGCCTAGCACTTCCTCTTATGGCTTAACATTCTTCATAATATGGTGCTTTTTAAACAATTCTCTGTTAAGAGGATCAACTTTCTTAGAATTGGTGCATTTTAATCTTCCTAATAGGAGAGATTTGATAATGGGGAGATTGTTAAAGTTCCTCTCAAAGACTATGGTGCTGACATTGCTGTTGGTATGAGTGCCAGTTGAATTGAGGCTTATGTGAAAGGCAGAAAAATCAACAACACGGAACAAGGACTTGTGTGAGAAGTGAGGAACGAGGAGATTGTATATCTTTGTATAGGTGATCTCGGGAATGACCCATTCGTCTCCTCACTTGTTTTTTAACAGTGTGGTAGCTTCTAACTTTGCAGGCATTTCTCCGTTTTGTTGAAAGAGTATTTATGATTTTCTTCCCGTTATGTCCTGTTTGTACATATGCATATTAAAAGCCTTGCGCTAATAATGTTCATAATTGATCAACATTTTTTTTGTGCAATTTTTAATAAAATAAAGAAAATGAAGAGAATGGAAAGTGGCTCTTTTTCATGTTTTTTCTTGGATGTTTGTCAAAATCGCACTTCTTTCGTATTTTGAACTAAATCAGAACACACACAAAAATACACATGATTTAAAAAGCAAAGTGATTAACACTTATCGTTATCCCTCATGTCAATGCAAAGATTTGTCCCCAATTCCACTTGGAAATCTTAGGGAAAAAGTCAACCGTTATAACTGAAGCAGTAGCCCTTGAGTCACTGAGCTTCTAAGTTTTCTTATGTATCAGTAATCCAGTGTGTGTGTTCGTCCATAGATATACAGCAAGCAGAAGCTGCTAATGAATAATTCTGTGTAAGTTCAATTAGTCAAAATGTAGACACAATTAATCAAAAAACAGGATCAAGCTGTATCTCATAGCAAAACACACAGAATCCATTGAGCGTTTGCCAAATGACCAACATCAGAGCCCAGTAAACATTTTACAGCAGGTTTTATTTTGAACATACTTTCATATACAAACCAGTGACTGAGAAAATGGCTCATTTGAAGCTGCACTCTACACGTACAACATCTTGATTGACTTGTCTTTTTTTAAACCCGGGATAGCTTTGTCCTCCAGTAAACTAGAGACATTTATTTGTCTTCCCTCAGTGTTGGATGGTGAACTCATTATTTCCAAGTAGTCCCACAGTACTGCACTAATTTCTGCTAAACATTGGACTACTGTAAATATCCGGACATGATACATCACATTGTAGTCGAGCATATCCGCACAATTGGGGAAAACTACATACAGTACAAGCCATTCAATTCACACAAGAGCAAACTGGCCAAAATTAGTTAGTTATTCCTAAAATGGACATCTAGAAGTTTGAATTGTAATTATTTAACCAAGATGGTTTACTTTGGACACATACGCTTGCAATCTTACTTCTGAAGTGTACAGTTACTTGAATCTAACAAACAGGCATTATATTTAATGGTCTGTATCACTCTACCAGCTTTGAAATGCACAAAATTGATTCCCCAACCACACTTATCAAAAAGGAGCACTCAAACTCACGCTGCACAGTAAATTTTAAGACTGAATATATATTTTGTTTATTATAAGCATTTGTAATTTTACATCCAATGTTAAAATCGACAACATTGTGACCATCCATCTCCATTTCTCCGCCGTCCCCTCCCTCCCTGTTCCCCAAAACAAGCTTGTTAAAATAACATTTTTCAAGACCTTTTTAAAGCAAAGGCACATTTGTCAATACGTGTTTTTAAAAAGGAAAAAATAAAGGCAGGCCAGCAAGCAGAGTCAGTCTGGGAAGCAGAGAAGTAGAAGAAGAAGAAGTGAGAGGCTGCCACGACAGCTGCAGTGAGCCTTCAGTACCCCACATTTCTGGAACAACACAACACAAAACCTGACTTGGAGTAAAAGAGCCCGGACCTGGTGTGTGAGAGGGTTGAGGGGTCAGGGGGATTTGGGATGAGCGTGAAGTCACGGGGCAGAAGACCGGCTTGAAACCTAATTTCTCCACTCCTTGCTCTAACACTTGTCCTGAGCCTGCTAGTTACAGAGGTGAGTCTGTCTGAGGAGGGGGGGTGCTGTGGCGGGTCACACCCAGCCTGCCTGGATGGTAGATGGGTGGGGGGGGGGTCAAGAGAGCAGATTTCCTCCTGACTGCCCTCCCTGCCGACCCTCGTCATGGAGAGTCACGGTCCGTTTTGAGGCTACATAGTCTGCCAGTGGGACAAGAAACCAGTGGGCTGTGAGAGGTGGGACTAGACCCCTGCCTGAAGGTCCTCCCCCCCTGTGTCTCTATTGGTCCCTGATCATGGGAGACTGAGTCCGAGAGCGGGGCTGCAGGGGGACACGCAGCTCCGCGTCATACGAACACTTTGGCGAGAGCGTCGGCCCCGGCGCTGGCGATGTAGCATTTAGTTGGATGGAACGCCACGTCGTGGATCGACTCGTCAAACTTCTTTCTGTGAGCCGTGAACTCCTGGATGCAGGTTTTACTATCCAGGTTCCACAGACGGATAGAGCAGTCATGACCTGCGAAACGACATGACCAGTTATATAAGTAACTATGAGCCTGTTGCTCCTTAAACTTGGAAACAAGACTTCATTAGTAGTCCGTGCAGTTTGGTGTATGGGAAAACCCTATTTACCTTAAAATGACAATTGAGGAGTTATAGAATAGCTTTACTTTTACATGTTAAGAAGTAATAGTGTGTTAGTATAATTGATAAGTTCAATAATGCAAAAGTGGAGCTAAAAATGAGTTAGGAACATTCATTTGTTTCCTCTATGGATGAGTGTTAAACTGATTACAAGAGATCAGACTGTAAAAGTATAGACATTTTTATAAAGGCACACTCCGGATCCACTTTACATTATAGTGACTGAATCATATCTGTTTATTCAGCAGGTGCGTAAAACATGATATACAAAGCGTAAAATGTATATGTTCTGCTACTTACTGCCTGACATGAGGTACAGTCCGTTGGGGTCTACAGCTAAGCTTGTGACAGCGTCCAGGTGAGCCACCATGGAGTGAATCATTTTCCCGCTGTTGTTGTCAAAGAACTTGATGTGTCTGTCCTCCTCCGCGGTGATGGTGATGGGGAGAGTCGGGTGGCTGAGGACCTTATTGATCTGGCAGGGAGTGCCTGGTGGAAACAGATAAGCACGTTAGACGTCACACAGCAGGAGAGGGAACTCAGGGGGGGGGGGCAGTCCATCTGGATGAGATCAGTAGCTGAAAGTGTCTGAAAGCATTATCTCCAAAGGCCATCTGATCAGTCTCATATTTATATAACCGATTAATATTTTTTTGCTGGTCAAATGTACATTATTCATATGACGCATACGCAGCATTGGTGTGTTCAAGTCAACGTTTTGAAGAACATGTATATAGTCAATGTTATCTCATGAAACATTACAATTTTCCATGAGATAAAAGTCACAAAGATGTTTGGGTATTCTGTACATTTTCTTTCTTAAAGAAAAGTTACAATGGGCAGGTCAATAATGTTGGGAATCGCAATGCATTTCGAGTAAAGTGAGTAAAACTACAAATACAATAAACATTGTTATATTATGCACAATTAGGTCTTACTGTATTATCTTTTTTGGTCAAAACACAGAAACACATTTTAGGTCAGTAGATGTGTCTGCTTATGATTTCCTTTCCTATAGCTGCCACTAGATGTTACTCAAGAGCCATATTTTCTGACTCTACTTCCTCTTCATTGCTGAATTCAACACACGGTATATCGTTTATAGTATAGGGTGTTTTTTAATATTATTGTAAGATTAGAAACCAATGTAAAATTGTACTGATCGAGGTCTAAATGCTGCAGCCTTTAACTTGGCAAACCTACCCGGCTCCAAGTTGGACTCGAGACTGAGGACCAGCTGGCGGGTCTCCATGTTGAAGAGTCCGATCTCTCCGTTAGTGAAGGATGAGACCAGGTGGGCCGGGTCACTGCATACCAGGTCTACTGAGGAGGGGATCCCCAGCTCTGGGACACAGAAAGACAGATACATTAATGTTGACTATTCAATTTAAGCGAACATTAGGAAAAATAAGGTTATAATACACGTTTGAAGTACTTTTGTCTTCGTTGAATACTGCAAGGGCGGAGGAGGTGGTGTTGGCGTCCCACAGTCTCACAGTCCCGTCTGCAGAGCAGGAGAGGAGGCGCTGGTGTGCGCTGCTGTACACCAGACCCCACACGGAGTCGGTGTGTCCGCACAGCGCCCCCCGCAGCATGGAGGGGTCTGAGGCAGAGAGACAGTCAGTGACAGTGACCAGATTGATCAATCCTCTGATTCAAACTAAACACACGGCGCTGTTACCGTAGGAGTCGTAGGGGTCGATGTTGGGGTTGGGGGTGTTCCAGCACTGAATAGTCCCGTCCACCCCTCCGCTGAAACACTGTTCCCCTGTGCTGCTCATCACCACACTCAGCACAGCCCCCCTGTGGTTTCAAATGATAATCAATTAGCAAAACAACTCTTCTAATGCTTTGATGGATAAACATTGATTTTATGTATGCGCAGTGTTTTTACCTGTGAGCCCTGAAAGTGTAGATTGGTTCCACATCTAAAGATGCACTCCTGCAGACAAACAATGTGTTCATTAATGGAACAGAAAGAACATGAAAAACAACAATGCCAGCTTTAAAATAATAATGTTTAACTTTGTTGCAGTGAAATTGATTTTTTTAAAAGACTAGCTTCACGGCGTATCTTTTATTGAGTTGTGTTCTTAAATTACCCTTAAATGTTTTCAAAAATGTTCAAACTCTGGGAAATTCTATTCAAGGTAACGGTCCATTTCAATTGGTCCCCTTACATCACGTCCTATCCCCCCTTTATGCATGCGACAGCCATGTGGTTGTCTTCCAGAAAGTGTCATAAATGTAGTTCTTTATCGAATTGAAAACTACACTTTTAAAAAGGTACGATCTTGTTACATTTAAATAATAATAATTATAACTATATACGTATTTATGTATGTAAGCTAGGAGCCTATTCTAGCAGTCTCTGTCTGCCTAACAGTGTAGGATTTAGACTGATTTCTAACATGAAACTGTCCTACAATGATGAGACCCCCTATTGGCAGAAAAAAAACTAAGTGTGTGTTTAATATGTGTCGAAGATCGTATTCAAAATGAAAGTTGGTGAATTTTTTCAAGACATCACTGCTTGTTCAATTTCCTGCTATTGTATCATGCTGTTTCATTGAACTAATACCCCTGAAACAACATCAGACTGTGTGTGGGCAGCAGAGCTGTGACTTGATGTAATGAGTCTTGTGTCAGTTCTTTGTCACATGGGGACCGTTTCCTCCGGCTGAATGGTGTCAGAGCAGATACAAAGACAAGCTTTCCTCCTTATGGGACTGTAAACCAACAACGGAGTTTCCCTCTAATGATGTTCTCTCTGCTGCTGCAGGTTTAAAGACACTGAATCAAACACACTGTTGCTGAGTACGAGTGTCTCTAACTGAGCTGATGAGGAAGGAATGGACAGATACTGTAGATTTAAAGCTGTGTGTTGTCTTTCAAATTCTACACCAATCACTAAATTCCTGTGTGCTTACTTTTTGGCAGGAGCGGTCTTTTGAAGGTTCCACATCTTGAGTGTGTGATCCTCGGAGGCGGTGACCAGGACGGGCTCCACCGGGTGAAAGGCCAAAGCGCGAATCCCGTCAAAATGGCTCCGCAGAGTGAATTTGGGGTTCCATGTTTTTCTCATGGCATCTTTATTGTTGCCAATCTGAGAGGGAGAGATCGAATCAGAAACCCAACAACAAATTATATGTGTTTTTATTTATAATGAGAACTTTTAATGAAAAGCTATATCACACTATATAGTGTGATATAGCTTTTGGCAATATTATATAACACAAAAATTGAACATAACATTTTCTTTACAAATTTAGATGAAAGGAAGGCATTTCCCAAAAAGTAATTTCCTGAAGTCTTATGTAGAAGGTGATCTTTCGATTACAAAGATTTCATAAAAAATATAAGACATTTTTATGTGACAGCTTTTATAGCTACACTCAATATTCCAAATAAGCGTTTTGCTTAATATTTTTGTGTATTGAATGTGTAAGCCTTAAAATGGACATTGCACTAATACTTGACTTCCCTGTCTATAAAAATAGCAGTTTGACACACAGATGGAATGTTTTCAGCATGTGATGTGACTTGGCACATTTTCCACAAGTCACAGGCAAGAGGTGGGATAGCTGTTTTACAGAGAACATAAACCGTTTCCCCCCAGATAAATTGTCTATTGGCTCTTAACTCCATTCTGCCTCTTCCTACTCACATCGTACGCCAGACTGTCGGCCTCGTTGGCCACGGTGAGTCCAGCCAGCTCCCCCAGGCCCAGCTCGCTCTCCATGGCTTCGTCTGCACCCATAATGAAGGACTTCCCCGAGGTGGGCGGGAAGGTCAGCGCCTCAACTGGGGAAAGAACAAACGAATAAATACATAAACCATTGCTGATAAGATTGATGGAGGGGATTTAAGCACATCTTACAAAAACGTAACACTTAATCACAAAACGTTCTTTCTGGAGTACCTTCATCCGGTCGGTTCCCCTCATGCTCGTTGAACCGGACCGCGTTGGGTCGGGATTGGGGGCTGGATGGTGGGGGCTGCATGTGGGACAGGTCCTCTGCATCCCTCAGGTTAGCCAGCATGTCCTGCAGCTTGGACCGGTTTGGTCCTGTTTAACGAAGCAGGTCAACAGTGTTAGCAAACAGACACACAGTGATGGAGAGCGGAGAGAGAGCGGGAAAAAAAGTATGAAAACAATACAATATTTCATTACAAAGCTGTGAGTGCAAACTGAAAAAGAGAATGAATATGGGAGGAAAGGAAGCACTGCAAGGGAAGAAAACAACTTCATAAATTATAGTTGGTAAAAAAAGAAGAGAAAATGAAGGAATCAACACCAGAGTTCTTGTTAGATGAGTGGAAAAGGTAGAAAAAGATATGTTTATCTTCCAGAATCATTTAGTGACATAAGTATTTCTGGGCCTTTAGAATCAAACCTGAGGCAATGAAATACAGTATACCAAAAGAACAACTGCTCAAAAAAACTCACACTGACAACCTCTTCCACATGAAAAGTGATAAAAGTACCAACATGGTGTGAAGATCAAAAATAGACTCATGTCTACACCAGAGGAGGAGAAAGCCAGGCGTAAAAAGGTGGTGTTGAGATTAAATTAATAAATTGAGATGAACCGAGGTTTTGGATCTCATGATTCATTCATAGTTAAATAAAAAGAAGAAAAAACCCGAAATGCAGAGCTTGGTGTGAAATCTAAGAGATCTCTAACTGAATGAGGCTTCATTCTGAGCGCAGTAGTATTCAGCTGAGTCACTTCACGGAGAAAATCTTGTAATTGCCATCAAATTACAACAGCAGAAACATTACTGTAGTATCAACATGGCTGACAGATGAAGATGAATATGGTGTATTATTATGATTTGAGGACATACTGATGAAGGAAACAGATGATTGTGGAGATTAGCTCTAGCCCAGATGGGGGCTGAACGATTAATCGATTTTAAATCGAAATCACAATTTTAAATAATGCAATTAAAAAATCGGAAAGCCTGCAATTTTTTCATTCTTCTTGTGTGTCAGTCATCCACACCAATCAGAAGTACCAGCCATTGTTAACCAATCAGAAGTGGCCCATGATAGAAGGTGATAGACAGATTGATCCAATCGCCTGCCAAGTATTGCCTGCCCTTTTCCAAATGGCTTCCAATGGAGCTCTCCTAGATGGTTTGGTGAAACAAACCATCCGAGTCAGGTTAGTAATGCTCCATCACATGTTTCTATTACAGGGTGAATCTTAAACTGAAGCTTGACTTTAAAGCAACCCAACGGAAGTTTCATTTAAGTTTAGTTCTTTCATTCGTAGCTCGGGTGCTAGACGGGACCACGTTGATACGATCTTCCTGGCCGGAGATATGGTCGCATTTTACAATAAACTTCCGTTGGGTCGCTTAAAAACTAAATCGCAAATCGAATCGCAATATCTGTCAGAAAAATCACAATTAGATTATTTCTCCAAATTGTGCAGCCCTAGCCCAGATAAGACAGGGATGGACATGTCAGCATGACTAACTCACATAAATGTCTGACATTTGACAGCGTGAAGAAGATGATGAATAGAAAACAAAACAATTAAACAGGACAGAAAATCATGCATCAGGCATTACATACAGGGGGTTTGGGTAGGGACATAAAGGGTGGCAGATTGTGTACATTCACAAGAAGACAGAGGGGACATTCAGAGTGAAATGATAGACAAAAGGACAGAGCAATGCTGAGTAGAAGGCATAATAAGGAGCAGCTCAAGAAGGAGATGAGAATAAAGCAGCCAAGATGTTTTTGTTTTTGATTCGAGGCTTTTTTGGCTGAAAGTCTACAGAGAGAGGAGGAGGAGGGAGGCAGCGACGCCCGACAGGACTTACTCTTCACCCCCTTTTTCCCCTTGCGCTCCTTTCTGTACTCCTCCTTGAGTTTGGTTATCATGCCCGGGTCCACGTCCCAGGCCTCAGAAATGGGACCTTGCTCGTCCTTCTCTACACAGGGGGAACAAAACCAGACCGAGAGGCTGTTGAGGAACTGCTCTGGTCGAGCCCCGAATGGAGGGGCCGGGGGCGAGTTGCAGAGACCTTTTCTGTAAGCAGGCTACTACCACCTCAGTTATATCAGACTCATTATAACTATTTAGTGTAATCTTTTTACTTTTTTCATTTAGTGCTTGGAGGGAAGTGGATGTCATGTTTAGAATTCTTTCATTTGAACATGTCATGATATATCTAAGGAATTGTAGGGGAAACATACAATTATCTGTTATTTTTCTGCTTTAATTCCACATTTTTGGTCAAATACCAAAAAACTAAATATAGGGCTGATGGCATTTTCAATCCCAGTTGAAAACTAAACCGTTGGCATCACCCTTTAAAATATCATATCAGTTAAGTCCCAGATTCCCTACTCCCCTCCGTCAAGTCTCCATTGTAATCCCCAACTCCCCCATAAGTCATCACACCCAAATTGAGTAATTATGTCCAATCATAAAATCCTCAGTGTGAAATCTTTGTGAAACCAAATTGTTGTTCACAACTGAAATGCTCAAACCCACGTTCAAATACAAAGAAACTCCTCTGCATGACATCAACCCCATTTTCTGGCTTTGGGTCTAAGGACAAATGAGACTCAAAGTGAATCATGTTGATTTGCTGACAGGGGAGTGGAAGAGACATAGTGGTCACGGGCTGGCTATGGGAACACACAGTGGAAGAGATCACACACTATGGGTTAAACAGAGACACATCAAAACATCATGATTTATGACCACAGCGTGATATGTGAATGACAGGAACTCCATGAACAGTCACCAAACTATAAAAAGAAGAAGATCATTAGCAAGGAATGTATAACTAGGAATAGGAACTATAACTAAACCTGTGATAGTGCTTTTCATAGGATCCCAACTCTCCTCTTTCATTGAAAGACCCCTGACTCACCCCAGTCTGTTCCGTCCCCGTTGCCTCTGGACTCCGGCGAGGTGTCCATCTCGTCAGGACTGGACAGGAAGTCAAAGCCCTTCATAGCCTCCTCTGTGTCAGGGTCCTCGCTCGTGTCCATACTGGCCGGCGTAATTGACGACGTGGGCTTCTTTCTCAGGATCTTGGGAAAATAATAATGCTTACCGTTATTAAAAGCAGAGCAACAATTCCTGAGTGCACAAGTTGAGGGCAGACCGTTTCCTTACCGTCCTGGACTCCACATTAGGCCTGTCCCTCCCGTAGCTGTCCTCATCATCATCATCATCGCTGAACTCTGCTGCAGCATTCTCGATGAACTTAAAGGCCTCCAGGACAGCGCTGGTGTCAGAGGGCTCAGCTTTTCTGTGGAGGAACAATAATGCATACAATACAATCAGAATAATATGCTACAGTGATAATAAAAAGTAGTTACATATGAACTGATTCACCCAATCTGTCTTAAGTGCAACACACATGTAGCAAACATTGGTATGTGGAACTTTATGGCCACTTCAAAATCTATCAAAAAATGTGGACTTCAAAAACGACAGAAGACACAAAAACTCATGTTCGATTTGAGGCTTCACAACCTCCACAGTGACTCAGCATGATGATCAATGCTTGTTTAAAGTTTCACTACATTTAAGACATGAGCCACACTATGTTGAATATAAGGGACTTGTTGTAGTAGCCGAGTCTATAGATAGCTTTAGGGGAGCGTACTTACCCTCTGCCGCCCTTTGTTGATGCGTCTGTCCCGTTGACTAAAGGCTCAGTACTGGTCCGTTCCCCCGTCCTCCCGCCTCCGTCCCCAGCTAGTCCTAGCAGCGCTCGGACGCGCTGGGACTTCACATCTAAGATGGTGTCTGTGTAGCCCACCTCCTGCAGGTACCTGGAACAAGGTTAATGAACTTGGTTACCAATGCTATAGCCCAGATTATTCAGAAATGAATACAAGCATATCTATGTAAAGTGTGGAGTAGAAGAAGTTTGGATGAGAAGATGCAAAAACATTGAAGTTAGTCTTTCATAATGCTGCAATAGCCAATAAATTAACAAGTTGATTTACTCCGAAGACAACAACATGGTCAGAGATGCGGAATAGTCGAGTACTTCTGACTGTCTAAAGTGTTATGTGCTCTGGCAGTAGTCTAGCTGATGGTATCAGCTTTTTTTAGGCCAGATGAGCTACTCATCAAGTATTACACCGATGTAATATGCAGAAGCTCTACATTTGAGCGGGCATCTGACTTAAAGGGTACGGTGTCTCAGCACATAATTGAGCTGTCCCTTGACACAGGGTCGAGAATGAATTGGCTGCATCATCAGCCGGCATGTTAGGGCAGATGATGTGTGAGGCTGCCCGATGGTGTCTGGTTTATTTACACACACTGACTGTAGAGTTGGCTGACATGATAACTAAACTTCCCTTAGCCCGCTGGGTATACCAGAGAAAACAAAACACGGAGCATGTAATGACAGCTGCAGCCCATGTGGGGGAGCTCATACACATTCTTTTTGGGCCATAGCACTTCTGACCCAGTCGTATAATTAATGAAAGCCTAGTCCAAGACAAATGAGAATACTTTTGCAGAGAAATGTATCTTGGGGTCTTGATACAGGTCATTTGCAGAGCAGGGATTACATTTTATGGGCCGAGGACTGTTTCAGAAAGATCAAAGCATGTGCTCTTACTGTCTGAGGAGCTGACGGCCTTGTTTCCAGGACAGCTGATTGTTGAGCGATCCAGAAGACTCATTCTCGTTGGTTTCATCTGCAGATGAGGAGGACACAAATCAGGGCTCCACAAACAGCACGGCCTTTCACATCACTTCCACTCTGTAAACACGACCAAAACATTCCTGCCTCGCAGCATCCTTGCAACTACATTCAGCATGGGTGCTATTAACAAGTCAACAGTGGACTAGAGTTAAGTGGAAGAGGATCTTGGGTCATTTTTGATGTGTGTGTGAATAAATACAAAAATAATGAAGCATTTTCGAAAACACTTGGGCAGTATAAGGAGTATTTACATTGTTGCCCATTCACCTATTTTGTTCTTTATTGGATTTGGACCATAGTTATCATCAGTCAACATGTGCAAAATAAATAGCTATCCTTAATCCATGTATTTACATCCCAGTTGATAAATATTGCCGAGCTTAAGCTGTGTACACAGCACTGGCAGTAAAGACAGAGAAAAGTCTCATTAGCAACGGCTTTCTCTTAATGCTACAACAAGATATTGGATATTTATTGATGCATTCTGGCACCTTCAAAATGGCTGTTCCAACTACATCCCATGACATACTGCGAAGAGCAACGATGTGTGTGTGCGCCTGCAGCGACCAGAACAACAACACAGTGTTTATGACCGACTACGGCCCTGACTAAGCAACGGTGGGATTCAAAGCTCTCTTTGATATTAAACAACATCAGCGTTCTTTCTGCAAGTCTGCTGGGAATTTTGCAATGGGCAGAGAGACGTGTTAATAAGATTTAGACAGAGAGTGTGTGAGTGTGTGTGAGTGAGTGTGTGAGTGAGTGAGTGAGTGAGTGAGTGAGTGAGTGAGTGAGTGAGTGAGTGAGTGAGTGAGTGAGTGAGTGAGTGAGTGAGTGTGTGTGTCGAGGATGTTGACTTGGCGGGGCAGAAACGTAGGTGACTCAAAAAGTGGGTCATGCACAATTCAGGAGGGCGAGGATCGGGCAGGTGCTTCACCAACACCTCCCACCCCTCTTCCCTCCCCCTCCGCCTAACACCTCTCCCCTTCATCAACACTTCAAGGGCTCGTGTGCTTTGAACAGCCCTCCTCTCATGAATAGAGATGAGGGAAGAGGAGAGGAAATGTCACAATTCGACTTAATGATGACACTTGAACATGCAAGGCCAATTCAACTACGATAATATAACAAGGATTAGGTAGCGCAGTGACAATACCGAGGCAAAACTGGGTACTGCAAAGGAAAGAGGGAACACTTAAAAGTGAGAGAAGCATTTCAGACATGCTAAGTCCTTTTTTAAAGTATTTCCACCTGGATTCATGTTATCTGCGTGCTTTCTTACTTGCATGAGGTGGTGAGGGTTTAGCTTTTGTTTTGTATAAGTTTCTAAGATGATGAACAGGCATTAATATTTAATTTCGACTCAGTTTACAACAATCTCACCACAAGATACATTTTGTAGCAGTCCAGAAGCCTTTTGATGGCTTTAGGATCAAGTTTCTAATATATTCAAGCACTTACAGCTATCTAATTTGTGGTAATAATTCTTTCAGAATGCAGTCTTAAGAATTGTTAGGTGTGAAAATTGTTAAAGAAAGTTGGAAAGTGCGATTACATACATTTTGAGTTCCTTCAACAATGCAAAGAGGTTCAGTTTTATCTACAATCACAAAGTAGAAAAAGCAGCAAATGCCCTTTTCTTCAAGAAATTAAGAATGTCAAAATATGTAAAGTATTTATAATCTTATCATTTGATTAATTGTTACAGCTCTATTTGAAAAAACAATATATATCTCTCCTGTTATTTTGTATAATCCACATAACATACTGTTTTGTTGGGATTATTTTCTGCAAAATAAAATGAATAATTGTAGGCAGCAGGATTATGTAAATTAGGCGAAACACTTTCTGGAAACGTGCCGTTTTGTTTCCTTAAATGCAAATGTTTAATGTTTTGCGCGCCATATATTTGGGTGGATATAGAAATATCCTCAAACCGACGCTAATAACATCCTAAATATTATCATGTCTGGAAATACTAGACAGATACCACGAGAGTAAAATAAATGTTTTAGTAGTTTGGGAAAACTAGCACAATATGACAGGTTTATAGTTTGTGTCTTTTTCAATTCTAAGTCTGGTTTTTCTTTCATGTGAATAAAGCCCTTAGTCTGTAAACATCTCTTAGTCAGTTTGAGCACAACTGGTTTGTAAACATTGCCAGATTGCCTCTTTCAGCAGTTCAATATTTGTTCAGAAGTATATCCGTTACAACAACAATGCTACTCTTCATTCAGGAAAGGACACTGAGAGGAACGCCATCAAGGAAAACAAGCTTCAACTTGAACGCAGCATCCACATGCGTACCAGTCCTGTCACCCGAGGTATGTGAACGCAACAATCAAAGTGATTTAGTACGAGGAGGTGGAGTTGGCTGTTTGAGACTTACCTGAGTCGTAGGTCGGAGGCTTCATGTCACCTTGATTTAACTCTGTCCCATATTTTAACTTGTGGTACTTTGCTCTGTAAGGAGAGAAAGAAAAAGAAGGTTGGAGGCAGACAAATAAGCAAACTGGGGCTGATAAAAAAAAAAAAATGTCTGAAAAGAAGCTATTTAAAAAACTCATTATGCATGGCATCTGCATAATAAGCTTTGAACGTCACCAACTTGCTCTACTTTTCCCAGACACGTTCTCTTATCAGACAGCTTCACAGCAATTTCACAACTTTAAAGTGAATATTTTGAAGATAGCAATATGTGTCATTATATAGGAAACAGGGCTGCAATAGACTACTCTTATCTTTTAATAATGTTACCCGTTAGAAAGTAGTGAAAAATGTTCATTTCCTGGCTTCCTGGTCCTCAGTTCACATAGATTGTTTTATATTCAGATAATACCTTACATTTACTATCATGGAAGAGTAAGACTATGAAAAATATAAAATGTTAATAGTTTAGCTTTTTTTGTTATGTTGATTAATCGGCTTAATAGTTTCAGCTGTCTATGTATTTGTATGCAAAATCACATACAGTATGATGATCAGGCAATAAACATTTATTATTAGACTCTACACATGTGAAACAAAAACTTAAAAAACGTTGTTGTCATTTGTTTGGCATCCAAATGAGTAATTTTGACAAAAATGGTGTTAAACGGTTATACGAAATATCATCACAATATGATAACCTAGAACGTTCATAAACATTTCCCCTGCATTTAGAAACAACTATAAAATGGCATTTCAGCGTCTCCAGCAGGTCGAGCGGTCTCGTGTAAACGGACACGTTTATTGAGCCGATTGCGTGTGAACGGAATACTTTTTCGAATTCGGTTCATTTTCGTTTCCGTGTAAATGGGGCCTCAGTGTAGAGAGTCAACACTGGGAGAGCTCTCACACCTTTCACTTCACATAGCCCCCGCCTCACCACTCACCCTGAGATCCAGAGGAAGCAACCCCCATCCAAATCAAATTCATTTTAAATTGGGTACATCCCACATTCAGAAAGCCATTTCTGAAATTGCGTTCAGGTACCCTTGTAGACATGACCTGTTGCTAAGCAACCGGGTACAAGTGTTAGTAATTCTGGGTTACATTGCTCCTGAGGCTCCAGTATGCGATGATCTCACCAGAGAAAAGTAAATAAATATACACTACAAACAGCCAGAGAACAATTCCATACCTATCAGACCTAATGATGAGTTACTCAAAGAGCACAGGTCGGCAAAATGTAACAAACCAATGAGCCCTGTCAACCTCAGACGGGTTAATGCTCTCATTACCATAAAAGTAGACAATCAAATTCAGATACCTGCAGTCAGGCGTTTTCATCCGTTACCCATCTCAGTTTTCAATTTTGTAACCTTTACTTATCCAGCAAAGAAATTGCAGATTAGTCACTTTCATTTCTGCAATACTCTGCTTTGCATTCATAGAATTCCACACATTCCCAGCATGAGGTTGTCCAACAAACCTAGACAAATCCTATGTGTTTATCAATAATAATCCCTTATTCTTATACACAGGAAACTGTGGGAACACACAATTACAGTAAGTAAACTGTGTCAAAGTTGGATCACGATGTCAGTCTGTAACATGTAAAGGATGTTACTGACGTGTTGATAACATCATTTTACTTTTTGCGTTCGGTTCTGTTCCAAATAAATATTTTCAAATTCCATTCAAAATGTATTATCTCAATAAGTGACTGCAACTGTTTCGTAACATGTTCGAGGGTTTTTTACAGCAGTTACTTTGATTATGTGTTATCATCAATGGGAGTGAAGGCCGAAACTACTAAGTGATGACCCTGTTTGTTATAATCTGGAATCATCCTTTAAGAGGACTATTTCTTTAGTTTGTGTAGAGGTCCACTGCTACAGAGTCTGTGACTGAATGACATATTCGATGGTTCAAAGTCACCAATACATCTCTCGTTCCAGGATGCAGCCATGCGACGAGGAGAAAGGGAAATGCAAAGTGTATCACCACCGTTACCAAAGAGAGCTTTTGTGAGGTGGCGACGGGCCAATGCACAGCTGAATGAAAACAATGTAATTCTTCTGGTTTACTAGAGGATCAAAGCTGCGACAGAGACCTCATCTTGGGTGGTAGGAGGATTCCTCGCTCCTATTTTTACCGTCTGGTTCTTATATGTAGGATGTTGAAGTGTCATCCGCATCCGACGGCAAACAACGCTTTCATGCCAACACACGCTCTTGTCCAGAGACATCACACCACCAGGACTCGGGGGGGATTCTCTCCAGCACTCTCACTCCAATACTGTTTCTGCTGACGCCAGCTGAGACATCAGACTGGTACGAGTTGAATGTCAACAGGAGGAAAGCCAACTTTCTTAACAAAAAACTTTAACTCATTATCAAATTGTTGAACTCTGGCGTGCACTAGCTCTGTGCAGGTGCAGCAGACTTGTTGACCAGAATATTTCTCACACAGCCATGTTCTTCTTTTCTATATTTCTCAGAAGCAGGACTTTATTTTTAGAGTGTGAAAAAACATGGAAATACTGCTTTTGTTCACTGCTGTATTTGTGTGTATTGTGGGTGGGCTGAGGCAGCAGTGGGTGGTAAGGAACTCACCTCTCTTGCTTCAGCGCGTACTCCAGCATTTTGATCCTCCTCACAAGGTCTTTCTTCAAGTTCTCCTGACCTTTCCTCTCCCCTTGCAGGAATGCGATTTGGGCCTGAAAACATATAAATAGGAATGTCAGGTCTCGTTTTAAAAGTAGTAAAAGATGTACAGTGATTCCTTTTATAAATAGAGTCAATGTTTCCGATGTTCTGGCATCTTAGATATGAGCCAGCTTGCAACAAAGACTTCAAAAACAACCTCCACGAGGCAGCATCTGAGAACAACTACTTCTGTTGAGACTGAAATAGGATGATGTCAAATCAATATGTGTGGAGATGGGAATTAAAAAGCCAATCTTTACTATTCTATTTTGATCTAACCTACTCACTCTCCCACACACTAAGCGCCCCCCTCCCTCCTCGAATATCCCCTCCCTCTGCACACCACTGTCTCTTTTCAGTAACAGGCAGCAGCTGTCGACACACTCAGTCTGAGTCAGCATTACATTACATTGCTGCGTACCACACACAATCACACGTGTGTGTGTGTGTGTGTGTGTGTGTGTGTGTGTGTGTGTGTGCAAGCACTTTTGAAATGAGAGTGCTAGTGGTCAGCCCACAGCACATGCGCTGCAGCAGTAAATCAAACAGAGCAGATCTCACATTGCGCAAAACTGTATCTTACAGCAGCGCCCGACATTGAACCATTGTAATCACCTAAATATATTTATGTCAAAATTATTCAGTCTTACAAATGTATAAAACATCAAGACAGATACAATTCCTCATTCAAGGGAAACGGCGATACATTACTGAGCTTTCAGCAGGATTACTTTATCTTTGGTTATTATTATAAGAGGAAAACATTTGCCCATCTCACACTTCAGATTCTCTGTGTCACACTTCAGTTCAGAATCTATTTCACTCCTGTACAAAAACATCGACCCTGTACTTGGCCTGAGCTGCAAATGAAACAGAAGTGACTGTAAGCTTATTTACAGTTTCATGAGAGACATTATCTGACTAATAGGAAAAAGGTTGTCATTATTTAAGTCATTAATCAAAGTGAACTGTATTAACTTAGGAAGCATCTTTTATGCTTCTTCCGGTATGTAAATAATGCAATTACAGTGTAATGCACGGACCACCACCATGGATGCTTTTTGTGAAGAAAATTAATTGATTTGTTTGTTCTTGTTTGTGCATGTGTGTTTATTGCGAGAGCATAGCTGTTCATTGTCTGTCTCCAGAAGGGCAGGCCTTTAAATATGAAAACGTCTATGGACGGAGTTAATTTTCTTGGAAAATAACAAAATAAATTACTAAGATGCTGAAGCTTTTGCATTCTTCAACAGTCATTTTCAACATTTAGTCTGAGAAGCAGACAGAAACCATAACAGAAACACACTAAATCTGTTCATACAGTCTCTGCTGTATTTAAGAGGTTACAGCAGGGTGAGCAGTGTCAAGCAGCTCTAGATGCTGCTAATAATCTCTAAAGGCTGCGCTGTTCACAGAAAGGAGGATATGTACGCCATCGTTTCTCCAACACTCTTCTTTAGCGTCCGTCAGTTGTTGAAAATGACCAGCAAGACAATGAGCACAAGAGGTATATCTCAGTGCCACCATGTAGTTATGGGAAGACTATTCTGAAACTTATTTTGGATTACCTAACATTTCAAAAAAATCTGAAACAGAGTAAACCATAAGCACAGAAGAGTGGTAAGGATTTAGAAAAGCACCAAAAGCCAGACTTCACCTGTCTGAGTTCAAAAGGAGAGCGCTCGGGAAAGATTCAGTTTATAAAACCAGACATTAGCATCTAACAGAGAATGGATATGGACTTGATTCCCTGCATGTCACTCTACATGCAGAGGATGGTGCGAGTTTGAGTGGGCTGGATCACAGTTTCACACGGATAGCAAGTAGCGCTGCTCCTGCCTGCAGTAATGAGTCATGACAGCACTTCAATCTGCCTCGTATTATTACGAGCATTTCTCTCTATCCACAGTTCAGAAGAATTCATAACAACCTTCCAGCGACAGTCCCTTAAAGGTTGGGGTTCTCAGTTTGACTATGTGTAAACAGCACCAAGTCACATGCTAGCAGTCTACACAGATGCCAACAATTGATCCTCGTGAAAAGGTGTGTCAGCACAGCACATACATCACTCTACCTATTACCTCTACACCGTCTCATATGTCTCACTCATCCAGTTTTATGTGCATCAGCTGGATCCATACTAATGCATTCAGGATTGACGACAATGTTAACAACGTTTAGTACTCTTCTGTCTTTCCACATCCTAGAGGCAGAATCATCGAGCAATAACCGGGAAGGCATCAACATAGTGCAGACTAGACAAGTCATAGCGGGGTAAGCCATTCATTTTTATTACCTGATGTGAAATATAGATTTGTAGCTGGATTGAAAAGTAGGTTTTTAAGTAATGCACAACTTGCTTAAGAGACAAGAAACAGAAAAGGGACACAAATAGACATACGAAAAATGTTGCATATGGAAAATGATCCCCGTTTGGATTGTGCTAGACTGTGTGACTCCCAAAATAACTAACTCTAAAGTGGTTCCCAATCCAAATATCCGTGAGGACCACTGGCCCATTGCTTTAGAACTGTGTCACTGGGCTGCAGAACCAACAAATCATTAGGCAAATTGCAAAACAATTTTTAATTAAATGTCTCTTGATGTCCAGCTGAACAGTCAATATGTCTGGCTCAAATGCTCAGCAGAGGCAAAAAAACTATAAATTACCCATAAAAAGTGCCTAGATTTCTCTTTAACGCCCTACATCAAAAATGCCAAGGATGAACAGCTTGATAGGCTGTTAATCTGGACGCACATTGACTCCTGGTTCACTGTGATAAAACTGTACATCTGCGTTGATTGATTTAGCGAGCATCTATTCACTTCCGTATCCACATGAAGCGTTGGCCCAGGGACCCCTGGCGTCCTGCGATGCCAGAGACAGAGAAGAGAGCGGCTCTGTGAATCTCTGGCTCGCCATCTCTCCGCCATCAAACATTAACCTTGGGAGGAATGCAATGAGTCGACTCGGGCCATAAAGAGACACAGGAAGCATTTAATTCCAGGCCTCACACTGCCTGCATTATTGGGTCGCTGGATAAGGGCTCCTTAGTCTGTCTGAGTGAGAGACATGGAGAGCGGGGCGTCCCTCCACAGCGCAGGGCTTTTCAGAGACAGGAAAAGGACGCACAAGAGAGAGGCTTAAAGCTAGGGAGGAAAATAAACACCAGTCGCTGGCTAAATACTGGTAAGCTCAGCTAAGAAAGTTGGTCACAATGCCTTCTACTTTGGCATGCAGTCAACCTACTTTGGATGTCAATTTCTTCTCTTAATTCAATCAGTAAAACAGACAGAAACACATAAAACTGCAAATACAAAATGGATATAAAAGGAATATAGTTCAGCTCTTTGCAAATATGGTAGCCATTAAAAAGAAGTAAACATTTGATATCCCTTTTTAACACCATTTATGTCGGGATAGGTTAGTCAAATGTGGCTGTTGCACCACTATAATTAAAGCTGAAAGGAAAAACTGTTGTATTTCTTAATTTGTACAGGTCTCACAGTAGCATGAGATTAACAGTAAACGTATAGGGTATTTAGGGCCACATTGTTGGAAAGGAGTTACACAGACAGCAGGAGTAAGGCGAAAACAAAGCCACGAAATGCGGTCATGATGACTATAAATGATATCCTAGAGAAGGCCTCAAAGTCGGAGATTTGTGAATTCCAGACATGTTTTCTTCCAGACTTGTTCCAAAATGGTCACACATGCTGGCCCTCTGGCCAGGGCTAAAGAAGAAGGGCTGTTGTAAATCCCACATTTACAAAGCAAACAACCTTTCTTTTAGTTAACACCGGATTTACTCTAACAGTTACCGCACACCAATGAGCACCATGATGGCTGACCTGATGACTATCCAAGTACATTCCACGCATGCCATTACACTAGCAAGGGGGGGGAAAGGCAGGAAAAGGAGACAGAAGTGCCAGGGACTGACATGGCTACAGTATCTTGTATTTGTTTATCACCACATTTACAGCAACATTGCCTCTTAAAACAGATCCCTTTAAGTAGGTTAATATCATCACTTACAGTCCCATTGGATAAACAAAAAGAGACAGACTGGAGATTGAGAAAATCACTGATTTCGGAAATTAAAGAGTTGAGTTTAGACGGATTATCAATTTAACTTCCTGGAGCATTTTCAGTCAATTATAACCCAGGTTTCACATCCAGCTGTCTCTTCACCTTCTCTGCTCAGAGGGTCATTTTAGTCTCTGCAATACATTTGCACATTGTGTCTCAGAGCAACTGAAAAAGGCCACCTAATGACTACTGTGTGCAAAAGTACAACAAAAGCATCTAATTGACTGTTAGGTGTGAATATCACACAAACTGCTAAGGGTAACCCACTGTCCTGTTGACACAGAAGCACTGAGGTACATGGTGAAATACTGAAGGCCTGTGATGGTGTCTGGAGCTCACCCCCTTCAAATGCAGACACTGCACATCGATCCAGCGGCTCATGTCCACAGGCACAGATTAAGGATTGCTCTGAGGGGCCAGGGTGAGACAGTGAGCTGCTCAAACTGGGATTTAATAAAGATTTTCTGCTCAGTTATCTGGAATGAACCAACTGTGCCATTCATCTCTGGACAATAAACTAAATAAAATCTTTACACTGCCAGAGATGTTTCAGTCAAAAACTACATCTTCTTTCTTTTCCTAAACCCTAGGAGACACAGCTCTTTCCTTTCCATCCCATCACGAGTTTCCACTTGAGCTTCATTTTACACATTGCCGTCACACAGCTCACGTCAAGTTGACACTGCAGTGCTACTTTAGAGAGGGTGCGAACAAAGACAGTATGCTGGGCTCCTTGAGGACAAGGGTGCATCCCTGCATGAATATAACATGAGGCTCTTTGCTAACATGCACACGCTCACAAACTGTATGCAGGCTAAGAGCTACATTTTTCCACATCAGCATTTTCTCTGACTAATAGGTAGTGTAACTAAGGTGTGGTCGTGGCAGAAGTATGTTGAAAACAACATTTACAAAAGC